GGCGAGGGGAGGCTGGGGAAAGCAGGACCAGCCTCTTCTTCCTCCCCCCCTCAGCCCCAGGGTGCAGGTTCCTCTGCCCCAGGCAGGGGCCAGGGCACAGCCGTCACCCTGTGCTATGGGTGGAGGGGACCACAGCCCCCCTCTCTGCCTCCGAACCCCCAGCCACACCACAATGGATGTTCAGGGATTGTTTATTTAAAAGAGCGGGAGGTAACCAACACGGGGCTGGAGAAGAACAAGGCAAATGAAACAAGCTTAAAAAAAAAAAAAAAAACCAAAAACCAAAATAAACCCAACCCACACAAATGAGGCCACAGACAAACATCACACTGCAAGGAGCGTTTCCAGGGACGGGGCTCCCTGGGTCACATCCCAGCCCCCAGCCCCACGGGTGGCACCCGTGCAGGGCCAGGCTGCCCGGCCCCGTGGGGAGCTGGCCACCCTGGTGGCATTCCCGCTCTGGGGCGCAGGCACAAGTCTCCGGGGGAGCTGGGAGGGGGCACAAGATCCAATGCTCCACCCTGCACAAGTGACTTTGGAGCCCAAAAGCCACCTTTCTCCTCCTCCTCCTCCTTAGTCGCCACCCATGCCCCCACGGCGGGGAGAAGGCTCTGCTGGTCACGGGACACGCACCGCCAAGGCCACTGAACTCAGAAGAAATCATGGAAACAGTGAAAAGTGTTTGCGTGGAAAGGGCTGGGGAAACAGCCCCTGGCTGGCAGCGAGTCCTGTTGAGACAGCCCCAGAGGTCAGCCGGCACCACCGCACCCTCTCCCTCCCACTTCCCTCCCCAAGTGCCTTAAAATTCCTGTAAGCGATGAATCCCACAGCAGCAGGACCAGCTGCCCACAGCACAGCTCAGCCCTGCCGGACCCGGCAGCTGCACGGCACCGTGGCGAGGTTAAAGAGTTCCTCTTGGTAAGCGCCAAAGGAAATTGTATTTCCTTCCCAGCAAGCTTCCCATCAATCCAGCAGCTCAGTAGTACCTGGGAGCGATGGAGGGAGAAGGGGCACAGGAGACTTCAGCCCCGGGGGAAGGCTGCGAGGGACAAGCAGCCACGTTTCCCCACGAGGGGTAGGAGGAGAGGGGAGGCCGCAGCACCCTGGGAGCAGCCCCCGCTCGCCCAGCTCAGCCCCACGCTCCGCAGGCAGCAGCACAGAGATTGTAGGGAGGTGGGAACAGTGGAGGGGAAACGGCAGGGGATATCCCGGGGACCAGCCACAGCCAGCAGACATGTTCCCAGGATAGTTCAGCATTTACTGTCACACCCATCCAGCTGGGGGACATTTGGGGACAAGGCTGCGGCCACCACAGCTGCAAGGCCAGGGGTAGCAGCTGGCGCGATCCGCTCCCAGCTGCGGGACACGGGGCAGGAACTTGGTCCGCACGAGAGGTGAGGGCCTGGGTAACCATTTCCAGACTGCAGCAGCTGGAGACGGGGAACACGTGGATTTACAGGCGCGCAGGCAGACAAGGGCTCGCGCAGGGCAGGACGAGCGTTTCAAAGGTCACTTTGTGGTACGGAGCTCCGGGGAGGTTTGGCCCAGCAGGATGAGGAGCTAGCGATGGGCAAGGCGGAGTCTGCAAACAGGGCACGCAGCTACGGCTCAGGAAGGTCACCACGAGGGAAGCGATGCCACAGCGTGACCTCCCCTTCCCGCAAGGCACTAACCTTCCCAGAAACACCACAGCTGGGAAAACCACCCTTCCCAAAACCACTGCGAGAGGAAGGTGGCAGCCCCGGGGGGATCTCCCCGCTCCTTGTAAACAGCTCCTAGCTCGGAGTCAGGCCAGCAGCACCCCAGAAGACATCACAACCCGCCTCCAGGATTCCTTTAGTGTTAAATCAGGAGCGGGACGTTGCATCATGGGATGCTGCCAGCAACCAGTAGCAATCCTCAAATGAAAAAAACCCTGAAATCAGAACCAGCAAAGCGTTCCTCAAGCCCAGAGAGAGGCCGTCCCTGCCCAGAACCCCCCCGTCAGGATCCCTGCCTGCTCTGGCAAAAAGTCGTCACCATCACACCCCAACAGAAGAGTCTCAACGAAGCTGCTGGAGGAGGGGACAGCCAACTCCGCCTGGCCGGTGGGGTCAGGGCAAGGATGTAGCAGAGGTGGGGAAGGAGTCCCGGGCCCCTCCACCCCACGCGCCGTACCACCAGTGCGGGGCAGCAGTCCGCAGGGGAGACAGGAGACCTTAATTCCGCAAGGCAGCCAACCTGGAAGGGAGAGCACGAGAAGAAACCAACGTGAGCGCAGCAGGAAACAGCCGTGACTCAGGACCCCTTCAGCCAGCGCATGCAGGGAACGCCTCTGCCCAGAAAACCCCCTCCTGCGGTGGAGGTGCAAGAAACCCTGCCCTGGAGCACACAGCCCCGGCTGCCTGGGGCAGCGTGGAGCGTTTGTCATCAACGCAGGCGAGGTACTGCGGGAGAAGGGGTTCCTGGCTTCTCTTCCCAGTGCCTCGCCACTGCAGCCTGCCTGGTCTCCTCACAGGGCTGTCCCCAGCTCGCAGGGCAGCACAGCGCAGCCAGGGGACCGTCCCCACATGGACCCTGGTGGCGGCTGCGTGGGGAGGGCCCGGGGAGAGGGAGCTCATCATCTTCTCCTGGGGCAGTTCCAGGGAGACAGCCTGTTCCCAAAGCTGTTTGAAGGTCAGCGCCAAGCGTTCCCAGAGCAGCAGCAGCTGCGTGAGGGCGAGCAGGGGGAGACCGTTCCGCACCCTGGAGAGGAGAGCTCGCTGCTGAGTGCCAGAAGCCACCCCCAGGCCCGAAGTGGCCCAAACGGTCACCTCACCTGCCTCACGCAGGGTACCATAGGGACTGCCGAGTTCTGGCTTGCCTGGGCACGAGAGAGGGGGCTCAGCACCCACTCGGCCAGCCACGATGGGCTAACTCATTCCCTTCATACAGGTGAGGGATCCCCAGGAAGGAGTCAAAATGCCTTGACACAAGGCAAAGGACCCAGGATAGAACAAACCTCCGCGAGAGCTGGTCTTCCTGGGTGCGGACTGAGCTCTCCCCCACTGCCGAAGCCCCCTCGGGGAGCTGGTTGAGCTGGTCCATGATCTCCAGGCCATTCTCCTCGGCGATCTGGACGATGAGGCTGTCCACCTGCTCCTGCGGGGTGGTCAGCGTGGTGGCGGAGCTCATGGAGTCCTCCATGACCTGCAACAGATACAGCCCCGTCACCCTGCCCCACAGGCAAAGCCACTCAGCCCAGCTCAGCTTCTTCCCCCAAAGAACCGTCCGCAGCTCCTGCATCACCACCAACCCCCTCAGCCAGCACGGCACCAAGCCTGACAGCAGGGCTACAGGGGAGGGGTGCAGGGCCCTGCTGTGCCTCAGAACCCCCCTGAATAACAGCTAGCTACGACACAGAGACAGCCACCTCCCTCTTCTCCCCCTCTGCCACGTTTGCCTCTTTGCACATCAAACCCCTTCCCCATCAGGAAGCAGAGAGGCATCTTCCCCAGCATGTCTCGTATCCCTCAAAGGCAAAGAACAGGACTGTATGAATGGTGCGGGGGGTTCCCACACTGGAGGCTGGAGTCAGCACTGCTGCGGGAGGCTGAGTTACAGCTGGGAGCCAGCTCTCTCCCAGGAGGCAGTTCTCAGCCCTCCTGCACCCCTCAGAGGCCACTGGCACTTACCGATGTATGAACATCCAAATTCTGAACCTGCTGCTCGAATTTATCCATCACCGCAGACACCTTCTGCAGGTCCATGGAGCTCAGAGCCTTGTCCAAGGCCTTGGTCACCTGGGCCATGTTTTTCGTCACCTGCAAGAGGAGATTGCTTCACAGATGCTCCCCAAACACAAGGGACGTCACTGCTGAGAGCAAAACCCAGGCCAGCAAGAAAGAAGCCAGCAGTTCTGAGGCTCATGACAGCACTACGAGGCAGGACAGGCTCTGCCCACTCCCCAGGCGCTGCGGCCGGCTCTCTGTGGGTTCAGCCTGGCTGCAGGTTTCTCCAGCCATGGGCAGTCCCTAAAGAGCCCGGGCAGCGCTCCCAGCACTGCAGCTCCCAGCCCACCACCCTCGCATGCACCACAAGGCTCCAGGCCCCCCCCCCCCCCCCCCAGCCACAAGTTAAGGATTTAATCTGAGCCCCTGTTCAGCTGGGCTCAGCACAGGCTGCTCCAGAGCAAGGGGGTCCGAGCTAACTGGGTGGGATCCTTTCGGGGACAGGGAAGTCCAAGGTGGTTCGAGGCAGCAAGAGGGGAAGGGCAAACGTTTGCTCTCTGCAAGGCACAGGCCGCTCTCACAGAATCATAGCATTGTTTGGGTTGGAAAAGCCCTTTAGGATCCCCAAGCCCAACTGTTCCCCTACCCCTGCCATCCCACCCCCAAACCCCGTCCCTCAGCACCGCTTCTGCCCAGCTGTTAAATCCCCCCAGGGCTGGGGACTCGACCCCTTCCCTGGGCAGCCCCTTCCAGCCCCTGACAGCCCCAAGGGGAAGGAATT